TAATGATTATTTCTGATTATTAGAAATTATACGGAATTGTAATGTGAAACAACTCAATATAACAAACTGCAAAAAAGGGATCGATTTTATACAAAACAAAATACAATCATAATTACCGCAAGGTTGCTCCGCCGGCGCCTGATGCCTCCCTAAGCCGCCGCTTCCTCTCAGATTCCTCTCGGATGGATCCTCCGTTTCGCACCGGCACAACACAACACTCGCGAAAAAGGAGATAATTACGATCGCGCGCACTAATTGTCCAAGTGACGTCACTCCCGGCGTTATTCGTCACGACTTCTCGCAACGAGAGCAAGAGACGCGATCGCGTCTCCGCGATCAATGGCGTCGCGCAAACTGGCGGGAACGTTTCGGCGGAAAGGACTCGGAGATCCGCGGGGCTAACGCTCGCGCGTTTCCCGAGGAGAAGAGACCGAATGCGGGCGTAAACGGGGGATTTCGCGCGTACGTTTCTCTCGCCGCGCGTCACGCGTGAAATTCGACGCGAACTGAAGTTGAAGCTCGGTATATTCGCGGCGCGACGGCGACGGTGCAAGAGATCCCGCGGCTCCCCGCGAGATACGCGTCGCGGTGGCTCGTCGGCGCGCGGGTATCGAATCGACGCGACCTGATCAGACTCACCGCCGTGGTGCGTGCCTTCGCGAAATGCGTCGTGGTGACCGTCTACGCGGGAGAACCGACGATCCACTGCGTGTCCGCGGGGCTTGGACCAACATGGCGTCGCTTCCCGGCGGCACTGCGCGGCTCTATACGAGTCGAGTGAACGACGCGCGCGACGACCGTACGGCAACTCCTCGTCTCGACATCGTTCGCTCAAATAAACGCGCAAATGCACATGTCGGCGAGAAATCGACACTCACGGTTCTCCTCTGTAATTTAACCCCCGTCGAAGGACCAGCAAGCGCGAACGGTAGACGGCGATTCGGCGGTGTCTCGAGTAACGAATGCCCGTGGCGACTCGCGACCGCGATTGCGATTACACCGGCGATTGTGATTGGTTTATAAGCAGCCACTAAAACTTGAAACAGCCAATCGTAATCGCCGATGCAATCGTAATCGCCGATGCAATCGCAATCGCGAGTCGCTAGTGCGATACGAGCATATAGCGAACGCTCCGAGAAACAAAGACGTCTCGCGGAATCCAAGAACTAAATCGCCCGGCTGCGGCGTCGTCGCTCGATTACGCGGGGAACGATCGCGCACATCGTTCCGTGGCATTCGTACCGGCGGTTTGAATGATAACGCGACACACACGTAACGTTCTCTGACCTGGGACCGCGGAGGCCGCCGCAACGCAAAGGATCCCGGCCGGAGATTCCCTCGCGGGATACGCGTTCCTGCAGATCGCCAACGCACGAGTAGCGAATACTGCTAGGCTTCAACAGTGTTAAACTCACCGCCGTTGTGCTCCGTGGCCGTCGGCGCGGGACCGACGATCTACTGCGTGTGTCCGCGCCTTCGAATGGACTAAAGCCTCGTCTACATAGAAGTCGTAAAGTCGTAGTCGTAAGAATAATCGACTGCGATTGGTCAATTTCGTCAGACACGTAAGAATTGACCAATCGCAGTCGACTATTCTTACGACTACGACT